TTTGCTCAGACAGTATCGGCCTAGTACTTTGAATCAATCGCTCTTCTAAACATAACTGGTAGACTGAGCGCAGACCCTAATCCTTCCATCTACTGTGATCACCTTACACAGTAACTAAACTTCTGCTACTTCTGCCCCTGGGAGATACTATACCTTCGGTGTAACCGCATCTCGTCTCCCCATCTGCAGTAGTTACGTCGAAGGAAAGGGCATACAAAAGCAAAGATCTTCAAAGAGTGAAACTCTTATCTCTCGCTATCAAAGGTGAGCTACATCGACTGAACTGCATTTACACTCGTACATTCCTGTACAATAAAACCTGCCGGGAAACCTGGGACACCATCAAGCAACTGAGTGGTCAATCCTCAATCGTGTCTCGAACAGTAATAGACGTTGATGAACTAAATCGAACATTCAACAAAAGTACCAACAACACGGGGACGGGGCTGATTATCATCAGCGCAAACATCGACCCCAGCAATAAAGAACCCTTCACTATTCAACAACAGAATGTTCTGAAGGAGTTGCTGACTCTCAAACCCAATAAACCACCCGGTCCCGATAGGTTGGAGGCTACCATCCATAAGGAGTGCGCTCATACACTTTCGCCAGCGCTTGGAAAACGGAATTATTCCGGCTTGTTGGAAATCTGCCTCCATCACTTTAGTGTCTAAAAGAGGCACCTCAAAATTCCGTCCCATTGTATGCACGTCTGTTGTGTAGAAGCTTTTCGAGAAGTTACTCCTTCAAGGAATGTCATCTCAGCTGAATGTGCAGGACCAAAACCAATTTGCGTAACGTCGTTCTCGCTCCACACTAGATGCTCTAGCTTCTCTGGTTTACTATATTCTGTCAGAATTTGTTTCTTGGATTACAGTGACGCCTTCAATTGTGTTGACAGGTCTATGCTGTTACATATTTTGTCTTCCAATGGAATAACCATAACTGCAGCACTCACTAACTCTTTCACAAACTGATCACAGTTCACACGTTACCTTGGTGGTTCGTCCTCTTCCTTAATTTCTACACTAGGCGTACTACAGGGTGCCATTCTATCCCCATTTTTCTTTTCCACTTATATTTCACCCATGCCTACTTTTCGAAATTCCCTGATCACTAAATATGCGGACGATGTGGGCGGAATCGCACACCCTGATGCATCTAGCACCCCACCCTCCAACTTGGTCCTACAAACCTTGATAAGTGGTCCACTGAGCATAACCTAACTCTAAATACCGCTGAATGCGTAGATATGCTGTTCTTACTTCACAGAGGGAATCGTTATGCTAATCTCCTGGAATCCTATCCCACGTTAAACATACGCGATGATACTATTATCCAATCCCCAAATGTCAAGTATCTTGATATGTTAATAAACCGAAACTTATGCTGGTCCGACCAAGTTATTTTCGTATTTGGAAAGGTCAAGAAACTATCATTTCATGTCTTACGACTGAAAACACTATACATCCGTCGCTTCTTGATTAAACGTTTTCTTTTTGTTTGTATTTTGCCCCTATGGTTGGACGGGTCTCCAGTCATCTTTCCAGGGATGCTCAAAAAGGATATTAAATTGCTTTCCAGATCACTAACACATTCATCAAGAAGTAGCGAGATTTCCCGTGAAACTATCTGTGATTTCATCATTTCACAACATACAAAGTCATGCTTTTCGTTATCAAAAAAATCATAGACAACCTTCACATCCGTTACATGAAGGTCTTGCCATGTATGTCCTCCTCTTCCACCCGGTCCCGTTATAGTTATATATTTGCTCGTACGACCGCCTATTGGTCTTGTGTGGTGCCCTACCTTGCCCGTTTTCTTGTCAATCCAGGNCTTCGGAACTTAACTCACTCATATTGTTAATTATTTTCTTTTTTCCTGGCTTACCACAATTCTGCTATAATTTTGTTCGATAATTTTTATTTGATTATGTGACCCTTCGGGGTGCATAAAGGAAATATTTGACTTGATGTAACGATCATATTTTAAGCCTTCCTCGAACTGCAGAACCAAGGCATCTACAATTTTAGAATATATGATGGATATGATAATAAATTACTTTTAATCTCATTTTACTTAGGTATTTATTTCCTTTACATGTTCACGGAATATAAATAATCGAAATGGAATCTTTGTTCCTTGCTCTTGTTTTATCTTGATTCACTAAAAACCGATATTTATCGGAGTCGCTCCTCCGTTGCATGTCTGTGGTTTCCAAAATTGCTCCATCTTGGTGCGAGGATAACGCTAGGCTGCTACTAGATCGAAAGCTGTTTCACTGCGTTTCGCAATCCTTAAATGTAACATACCATTAAATGATTCCCTTCATCATATTCCAAATCTCTTATCACGACGAGACTGCACCTTGACGTGGTGTGATGGCTTGCGTGCCTCCATGACCCTACGAGCTACACAGGATGGCATTCCATAGCCGTAGATCCAATCATGCCTGGAAGGTCAACGGGTAGAGGCCAGACAAAGCTCAGTCTCATAAAGCTGTTTGGGCACCTCCTGGTTTCCTTCGTTTATTCACACCCGCCCCTGGAGAGGCCACTCCAGCAAATAAACTCGGGGAGGGGCAGTTTACCGGTCAAAAACCGCTAGATGGACGTAAGAACAGGGTACCTGAGGCTTCCTCTCGACGGTGGGAGAAGTCTTCGCACTTCATTGGACAGCTACCGTCCGCCCAAGCTGGGCAACCCCCAGCCAATAAGGTGCTGTCCCGTCCACGTTCCGCTTGTCTCACTGGGTGAATGAGGCTGAAGGCCGATCCCGATAAGCGGACCGACCATAATGCATCAGCGAACATAACACTGAACCGAAACCCGAAGGCCTTGCGTGACAGGTCTCCAGAAACACCCACAAGGCGCTTCGGTCACGCTTCCGCGTTGGATCTTCGCCCCACTGCCTTGTGGGTCAGACGTTTAAGTTGAAGGCTATGGCCAGGATTCCCAAAGAGAAACCCCTTCGTCGGTGTGGGCTGCCACGATGTATGTCGCGCCCCAAAGTCTTAGGCACCCATTTGGAAAAACCTCGTTCCGATCCATCTAGTTCTTCTTCTCAATCCGGAATAATCCCAGACGCCTCCTGTTTACGCCACCCATCGAATATCACACTCAGCGTTTTACCAGCAATGTCAAACGACTAGAAGTTATAGGATTTTTGAAGCCCAAATTCCCTTTTCACCTAGTCGCGTTTAATGTCCGTGCATTCTATCAGATTGTTCAACAAGCTGCCTTAGCTAAAACCCCTGAAACTTACAATTTAGATGTATGTTGTGTCCCCGGAACACGCATACCAGACCCTACTTCAGTTACGGCGCACGAAAGTGCATGGTTAATGGTTGTAAAAACTGAAACTGAAACTACTTCAGTTATCTCCCTGCGTTCCCCTAACCCAACCTCGACCTCACGCTTCACCCTCCGTGTGTCAGATGATTCGATATCCGAAGCTCGCGG